GGTCCTTTCCAGCCTTAGTGATTCTGTGAAGATTTAGGAATCTGAAAATACAGTTGCACAGAAAGGGAAAGTGACTTGGCTACTTTTGCTGAATAGATTTGAATATTGCTTGGAGTTTCATTTACCTCATATGTCAAGAATTATTCTTTTATTTTGAAGCATCTTAGATATATCAGAAGGAGAGCTTGCATCTACAGTGTTCTAATGAACTAATTAAAATGAAATTATGGATGGATAACGTTGAGATGGGTTTTTGTTCAGTAGCATGCGACTGATATAGGGCACACTGACAATTTAGACTTCCCTGAACTTTTGCTGAATGTGGCTGGGTGTCTTCCAGTTGTGGCTGGGTGGCCTGTCAGCACAGGGGAATTAAGTTAGCTTTAGGGAGTGACAGTGAAAAAAGATGGGGAGAATGCTGAAGCTGTTTGACCCTGCTCATCTTCTTGCTACAAACATACCTCTTTGACTTGACTGGATTGTGGAAATCCTCATGCTTCGTTCTTAGTGGTTACCCATTAAGGGTAAGATTCAGCAAAGAACTTGAGCATACCTGAGAGCTAGAAGCTGGGGTATCCAAGATAACCTGGTTCCCAGAGAGATGCAGAATGTCCTTTGTACCTGTCAGGTTTGAAGTCTATACTCCCAGCTCACAGGACAGTCTTGATGCTGTGCTGTTCTGCAAAAAGAGTTATTGAATCAGAGAAAGGAGGAGTGTGGTTTTGAAGCCTAATGGTTAGGGCAGTCATCTGAGGAATGAGAAATGTAGGTTACAATTCCTATAATTCCTGTAAATTATCCATACCTTCTTTAGGCTTAAGATTATGGCTCTTACATGCTGTACTTGAGGCTGCACTTTGGGACTATTCAGGAACTGAAGAATCACAGAATTGTTGGAAAAGACCTTTAAGATCATCAAGTCCAACCATCAACCCAACACCACTGTGCCCACTAAACCATGTCCTGAAGTGCCACATCTACACGTTTTTTTAATGCTTCCAGTGATGGTGACTCCACCACCTCCCTGGGCAGCCTGTTCCAATGCTTGACCACTCTCAGTAAAAAAATTTCTCCTAATAATCTAAACCTCCCCTGGTGCAACTTGAGACCATAAGAAGCTAGTAGAGAATGCCTCATTCCCTCGCAGAGTGTAGTTATACATAAAGAACGTCCAGTCTGTGCTGGCATCTGCACCCATTTCTACACCTGGGGTCTTGGATTTGAACTACTAAATCTTAAATGTTTAGACATGGAAAGAGTACATCTCCCTGACATAGCTGAAGTCAGCAGAATTTGTTCCAACTGAAACATTCCTTCAGCGTACTTGTGCTGATATGGCATCCTTTGCTTTGGAGCTTACTGTACACCTGATCTGCCTAATCTCCAACATTTTTGTCAAATTGTTATGACCATTCCTTTATTTCTATTTTGCTGCTTTTTTTTTTTAATTTGAGGAATATTTTCCCACAGCAGTGGTAGGGACATATAGATATAATTCTGAAAATATAAAGAAATAAGAAAAAGCTTGGGCTTGCTCCCTCCAGTAGAAGAGATGCTGTTCAGCCATGGCACCTATTTTCCCTTTTGTTTCTTAGATGGATACTGCCATTAAAATTGCTGTTTAGTGTTGGTTATGTGTGTTGGTCTTTTTTCATATGGGTGGTTGCATACAAGAAATCAGGTGACCTACTTTTTTTACAAAACTCTTGAGAGTAGGACTTGGTCACAAGCACTATGGATTCATTCCAATGGCATGGACCAAATTCAGCTTTTTAATTCCCTGTACTGCTTGGCGTTGCAGTATGTTTTTAGTTTAATTTTTGTTCAGTTCTCTAATCTAAACCGTGATGGGATGAAGTTTGTGATTTGACAAATATAAATGTCTGTAGAGTAAGTTGGCAACAATAATTCTAATTTGCTTTTGTAGGAAATTGAATTTTATCAATTTTATTATGGTGGTATTGCTTGCTTAAGGCAAAACTATAACTTTTAATTTACTTCTGCAATTGAAGAACTCCTTCAAGGAGTGTGCTTTCTTAGCCTTTCTGACTGGGATAAACTAACATCAGAGCAATGACTTAGGATGTGTCAAAGTGGTATTTCAGAGGCAGATAAGAGCAAACTCTTCTGTCTTCTGGAGCATGAGCCAGCTTTGGTAAGTGTGGTGGTCAGCCATGGCTGACAAGTCTGTCTGGGTAACTTAGCTTAGCGTTACACTGATTTAGTTGTGCTAGCTCTAGTTTAGAGGTAACTTGCATACATAAAGCTCAGCATAAGGGCAGATTGTCTGCCTCAGAAGCTCACCTATGCTTTTCTGTGGAATGAGAGGGATGCTGCTGCTTTGAGTCGCTGCAGGAAACCTTCCCCTCCTCTACCCTGGTGTAAGTTTTGCTTTGCCGATTGAGTGGATGGCCCTGGCGTACTCGTAGTTGCTTGATTACTAAATAGTATCTTGTTCCTGAACAGATTCTTCTGTTCCTTTAAGTGTCTGCTCGGTGCTTTAGTTTCTCACAGGACAAAACCTTTGGCAGGGTTCCCAATCCATTGGAAGGAACCTGGGAGACACAGGGGAGGGCAGGGGCAGACAGCAGGAGCACCAGCCTGGTGCCATCATGCTGCCTTCCTCAAGAGGTACCAGATGGGCTGTGGTAGGGCCGGAGGCAGAATGTTCCTCTACAATGCATCCATGGTTAGTTGTGTCCCATGAGCCCCTTTTTTTCAGTTTCATTTTTCTATATGCCTTTATTATAAGGATTAATGTTTTGTGTGGATACTAGTCAGTTTTAAATGGCTATAGAAATCCCTTTTAGTGATTACATGCACCTTGAAAAAGGGCTGAACTGAGTTTATGTGTCTCTGTAATGTGACCTTTGCTCCTGTAATTTTTCATACTGTGTATTAATAAAGGTATTAATTTAGGGTTTATGGTATTGTTACTGGTTTATAAATCATATTGTAAGTACACATGAAGGTCATTATCTGGTGAGCATTGTGTGGTACTGGAAGGTAGGGTTTTGCGTTGATGGTTGGACTTGGTGATCTTAAAAGTATTTTCCAACCTTAATGATTCTGTGACTCCCAGTTGAAGTTTTGGTATGTAATCTTGTGATATGATAAGAAAAAACTTTTCTAAGGAAATGATCCCTTAAGGCTTTCCATTATAATTTTCAGAATGATTGCACAATTAAAGAATCAGGTACTAAGAGCTTGGTATGTTTACTAATCCTCATTTGTATATTAAAAACTGATAATCCTGTAGATTTCTACTGCTTTTTAATAAACAGCCATCACTGTTGTACATGTAGTAGTGGAAGGCTCAGTGGGAACATTGCTGTTGATAGAGAGTAAGAGGGCTCTTGTTCTAATTAATTTGGGTTTTTTTGCTTTATTTATCTTTAAACAATATTGTCTTCACCTTTGCTAAGCACAGTTTGACAGTGGCTAAAGTACTGGTGGCAGCCAGAGGTAACATTTACTGTGAGGAAAAATTAACCCGTTACCATTTTCATTGGGAATGGTAGTGACAAACTTGGCAGGGGCTGGTGGTGGAGGAAGCAGAGGTCTAATGAAAGCACAGCCACTGGCTACCTCTTTAACCTGGGCAGGGGAATGATCTTGAACTAGACAAATCCTGTTTAAAGAATTGGGTAATTAGTAGTCTTGTCACTCTACAGATTAGCATTTTGAATCGCTTTCAGTAAAAATGCAAACTGCTTTTATTATTTCTGTCTTTCAAAAAGCACATAATTGAAAACTGTTTTGTTATTTGAGATGGTTCTTTGAATCACCTTCAAAAAGGAGGAGTGGGGTTCTCTGTTTTCTTTTTCTTTTTTTTTTTTTTTTTAAATCTGAATGAATGGATTTAGTTGTTTGCTGAATGGCGATATGTTAAGATTGAGTTTGTGCCTTGCAGAGCCCCAACTTGTCTGAGGATTGAAAAGGTAAAAGGGCCTCATCCTACTTTATTTCTTGTATGGGGTAGCAAACCCAAACCTAACCCATAATTTCCACATTGATCTTACAATAAATATTAATTAGTTTATGAATAGTTCATGATCTCTCAGCAATCTCTTCATAATCTTGTTTTCATTCCTTCAGCTGACTAATGCTGGAGTCCTTTTTTGCATTCTGTGTTTTCAAGCAGTATTTGTCCTCTAGTGGGCTGACTTCTGTAATCCAAGAACCACTAGCTTGTCATCAATGAAGTATGCAGCCAAAACTTGGAAGTTAGAGTACAACCCTTCTTAGATGTTTGCACATGATGTCACCCTAATATTGTGGTGTGGGGTTTTTTTATTTTTCCCCCTGCCCTTAAAACATTTAAGTATTTATTTAATCTCTCTCTACGGGGATTGTGATTTAGGAGGGAATAGTAAAGTAGTTGCAAGTGCTTTGTCCTGGGTGTTTTTGGAGAGGAGAAGGGAAGGTGTGAAGTGTGATCCTCTTTTTGGTAGATACTGCTGGTTTGGAACCTTCTGCTCTAGCAGCTGAGGATGAGAGGATCTGCAGTGGGGAGGAGGGAGGGAGGGAGGGAGAAGAATGTCTAAGACACTTTACTGGAGGTAAGTAGCCAGTCTTTAGATATTAACAAAAGTTTGACAGCTGATTTTTAAAGCAACTTAGAGAACAAAACAATTTAAGAAAATTGTGAGCACATCACTATTACTTTTAATTGCAAAGTTCAACAAACTTTGTATTTCATTCCATTATTTAGTGTTAATAGTTTTAAAAAAACCCAACACAACAAAAAACCTTTCTACGTGTCTAACATGCTTCATGTTTCTACTTGTTTTATTTCTAGCATATTATCAAGTTTCACCGTGCCTCAAAAGCAAATAAAAAGCCCATGCAGTTGCCAAGATCTATGGTTAAATCCCTACTCTACCAGATCCTCGATGGAATCCATTACCTCCATGCAAACTGGGTGCTCCACAGAGATCTGGTAAGTGTTGCATGTATTACCTGGTTAAGAAAGTTTCACGTGCGTGTTGTTGGTAGGAGAAGAAAAGTCCTATTAGTAATCTTGCGTATCGATCCGTACAGCTCTTCCTGTTATTGTTGCAGGAGACCAATGGAGACTTTAAACATGAAAACAAACTATGTTTTCACATTGTTTTTATCTGAGTCATCTGAGCTCAGACAATGATGCTAGATCCGGTAAAAGGATTGCAGATACCAATATCCGAAAACAGTACATGAGCCAGCTGATATATGTTGGTTGAACATTCTTATAAGTTTGTGCATGACTCTGAAAAGGCATTTAAGTGGGAAAGTGATTGATACCCTTGTGCATTGTTTGGCTTACGTGCAAGTTACCATGAAAGCTAGTGAAAGAGTAGTTTTTTTTGTGGAGTATTTCTTTTCCATGTGGTATTTTTTCTGACCGTGGGAAGAGAACTACGAAAGAGTTGTCATCTTGAAATTTCTCATGACCTGAAGTGGCTCTTTAAGTTGACTGCAGATTACGAGGGCAGCCAGTTGCCGTGTCTTAGTTACCCTTTTCCCATTAAAGTTTCCCACCACTCCTCATACTTAAGTGAAGTGCTACCAAGGGCTGCAAAAAGAATAGTATTTGCTGCCACTTGCATTTTAACTAGAATATTTGGCATGAGACAAACAACCTCATGGTTAATATGCCAAATCTGTTCTAATAATGCTATTGTATTATCAGCAGTAGATATGGTAGGAATTGTAGTGTAATCTGTGTATAAAGCCACTGCTTTTATTTGGTTATTTTTTGTAGTTGCCCCAGTATGTCAAAGAAACTTACAATCGCTAATTAAGTTTCGTGAGACATGGATAGTTCTTGACTCTTTAATAGTAATCAGGGGCTTGGATTAGTTTTGGGATGTAGAGCAAATGTTTTCTTAAAAGATATGGATAAACCAAGCCAGAAGTCACAGACATTTTCTGAAATAAAAATTTACTTTTTGTCACGATACCTAGTAACAGTGGCCAGAAATGGGGTTTTGGTATGAATCTTTTTTTTTACCTCGTTCCTTGGTATTTATTGTCACTTTTTCTGTTAAATTCCAGATGTTAGTATATTTGTGTGGTTTTTGGTTTTTGGTTTTTTTCCTTTTGGAATAGTAGCCATGAGCAAAAGCAGGAAGCAAGTACAACCCTGATATTCATGCTACAATTACTACTTTCCTAAGGAGACAGCTGTTGCTTTGGCAGAGTGCTGAGATGTAATTAAATACAGCCTGAGAAGGAACACCTGAAAAGTCTACATTCAGATATGTTTAAGGGAAGTGTATGTGTTCATGGAACTATTAAATATATATATACACTCAAATGCAATACATGAACTTGATATCTTGATAGGAAATACAAGATAGTATCTAAGATAATAATAACAAATACCCTAGAGAATTTTTTTACTAGTGTTGCTATTTCCAGCCTGCAGCACCAGGTGCTTTGCATGACTAGTGCTGTTACTTTACAGGTCTTATCTGTTGTTGATGTTGCAGCAAAGCTGGTGCCTAATGTCTCCATCTTTTCTCTTGGAACTTTGGGAGGTGATGGTTACTGTTACGAAAAAGATGACTATTTTTCCTGGCTGTGGAATCATAGTGCTTGACTGATGTTGGCATAACTGAGAAGGGAGAAGAACAGAAATTTGTGAAGTCTTAATGTGTTCTTGGTATGCGAATAAATTTTAGTTAATGGATTCTGGGGTACATCAGTGAAAGAAAGGAAGCCATTTAAAAAAATCCCTTTGGTACCTTGCTGATTTAAAGGTGTATTCAGAATCTTTTTGCCTTTTTAAAAATTATTGCACATTTCTGAAGAATTCAGGTATTTTGAATAGTTATTTTGCATCTTGAACATAGTAAGAAAAAACTGATGTTATTCTGGATGTGTACTATCTGTTCTTGAAATTAGGAGTAAATGTAATTATTTAGTAACAAATTTAAATTCTTGGTTAACCAAAAATTTTATATATCTTTAATTTTTATTCATATGCTCACACCAGTGAATTTTGCTCCTAGGAGTGGTACCTCAGGCATGATAGCACTGGGATCAGTTTCTTGCATAATACATAAATACCAGCTCTTCAGTGTTGTCTTAAGATGGGGAGCAGTTTGTCTGGTGTTTTTCCTTTTAGCTGTTTTAAGTTACGTCTGCTGTAAGAATATTTTTCTATTTTATGTAAACCAAATTTTGCATCAAGACACCTTGTACTTTCCTGGTTTAATATAACCCTGCTCTTACTATTTTTAGCATGCATTTGGATGTAGATCAAAGATAATGACATCCATAAAAGTAATGTTACACTTATTTCATTGTTTTTGTTTTTGTTTTTTTTTTGTTTTGTTTTGTTTTTGGTTTTTTTTTTTGTTTTTTTGTTAGGTTCTCCAAGAATATTTATCATAATATTAGTCAAATTCTCCTGAGCCATGGAAATGACCTTTAGAATTTATTTAACAAATGTTGCAGTGAAAAGCCAGGAACATGGGAGGTTAGGTATTTGCGAGAGTACTTGCTTGGAGGTATTTGAAGAACATTGTTTAAATCTTAGTTTGATACTCTCTTAAATCAGAGTTCTTGAAGTAGAATACCAAATATGCTTTTTAAAAAAACCTCGGCTCTCAATGGATCCGTATTTTTAGATACGGTAAAATTGTTACTCTTAAGTTATTTTTAAGATCTACAGTAGCCAGCAAAAGCATGACAGAAGAATAAAACTGGTGAATGTGTGAACTTGCAGACTTGCAACATGTGCCCTGTCCTTGGGCTGAGCTAATGGATAGTTTCTACCACAAGGAGACAGTCTCGTGCCCCTCTCCACTACCACTAGACATTGCAACCCATTTTAATGGCCTGGCAGGTGACACTCACCTGACTCATGGTGAGCTCATTCAGGGAGTTAACCCAAAGAAAATATTCACTTTTCTCCTGCAGAGCTCATTTTTTACAGGATTAGCTCCCTGACGGGTCTTACTAGGAGCTTATGTGTTTGCAGGAGCTGGCGCAGAAGAAACGTGCAGTTGGAGGTGGTGGCAGAAAGCTCAACAGTCATTCTAGCATCATCTGCCACCAGAGCAAATTATTTTATTGTTAAAATGCACCTTGTTAATTCTTAAATGAAAGTGCAAGTGTTTTTAAAACATTAAATTCAATTGTGGTTCTAAATCAGTATAACTTTTATGCTTACCTTGAATCTTTTCTGATGTCAGACTTATGTCATTTGGACACAAGTCCAAATTTAGGAAAGTGCCCAAACTGAGGAAGATAACACCAAATACGCTCACACTCATACTTGTAGAAATAAGAAAATAATTTCATGTAGTGTATCTTTCAATTTTTTACCATATTGGAGTTGTTTCGGGCTTTAGCAGGGCCTGTTGCGATAGGACAAGGGGTTATGGTTTTAAACTAAAAGAGGGGAGATATAGACTAGATAGAAGGAGGAAATTTTTCACAGTGAGGGTGGTGAAACACTAGAACAGGTTGCCCAGGGAAGTGGTAGAAACCCCATCCCTGGAAACATTTGAGGTCAGGTTGGACAGAGCTCTGAGCAACCTGATATAAAGGAAGATGTCCCTGCTCATTGCAGGGGATTTGGACTAGATGACCATAAAAGGTTCCTTCCAACCCAAAATATTTTATCATTCTGTGATCCTGAAGGTAACTGAAAGGTGCTAAGTGACTTTTTAGGTACAGTTTTTTGGCTGAGCTGTTAATTCCTGTCAGTTAAATATTCAGCAGTAACTTTATGGCAAGATTCAAAGCAGTACAGAATATAGGACAGGAGCATTACAGTTTTGATTCCTTTGAATAGTATTGTGTCAGTTTATACACCTTGGAGTTGATGTAAGTCTATAAAAATCGATACATTTGTTCTCCTGTCAAGCCATTTGGAGTGGGATTTTGTTGTTGGATTGCATGTTGTTGGGCAATGATAATTTTGCCTTTTCAACATAGCAGCATTCCTGAAAGCCACGCATGAGAGGAGGGAGGATTTGCTGGCTCCTCAACTGCTGAGCTATTTCATTATGAACAAGAGGTTAATATAGATAGATATTAGAGAAAGAACTTTTTGGTACTAGGTTTTTGTTTTTTAAAGTGCTCTGTATACACTGTGGGCTTGAAGGGAATCTAAACTTCTGCTCCGTACCTTGAGTTAATAGCAAGTTAGAAGATGCAGCATGTGGACTATAGTATTGCAGGGTATTATGATCTCACCTAAATGTGAATTATTTAGATTCTACTGGAATGTTCAGCAAAGGCCTCACTTTGCAGACACGTCTAAAAATAGAGATCTTCCATATACTGTTCACGGTGCGCATCCATGTTAGCAACAGAAAGGATTTTTGTACTTTTTCTTGTGCTAATAACCCTTCTGTAGTTGATGTTAGTTGCTTAAGGACAAAAGCAGGCAGAGACCATTTCCTTTAGAACTTGATAAAAGCAATTTCTATTTGTAATAGGATGTATTTTCCTGGAGGGAAGTATTATCTATGAGATGTTTTAAGTTCACAGAAACCGTATGGAGGAATTAATTTAAGATTCCACTTATGTCCTTGAGCATTTCTTTAGAGTACTGCTTAATGTTATTAAAACTAGTGGTTGGAAAATGAATGTTGGAAATCAAAATCACCAGAGAAATGCACATTTTTACCCTCCCACCTTCCCTCTAGAATTGTGTTAATGGTTGCTTTCAGCATTCTGAAATCGGAAACTTGCTCATTGCAATAGTCGTATAAACTAACTTTGTAAAACAAGCCAAGTTCCTAAAGTGTTTTTATTATAACTTGAAATACTTATTAACTAAGAATTCCTCAGTTTCTCTTGTATTGCTCCTGTACAGCTTTAGAATGTTTAAACTGACTATGTGTGTCATTTTACAAATTAAAGAGATTAGCTTACAGCAAAAATCTATTAGATGGAACAACAGTGATATAGGTGAAAATAGTCAGTTTGACACACCTTTGA